AGTCTTCTTTGTGCAAAGTAGGGACCCTAAGCCTAGCCTGAGAAGTAGAGCATATGCTGAATTTTGGTTTCCCATATGTCCTTCAGCAAAGTTCTATCTGCACAACTTTACTACCCCACATGGAATATCTTAGAATCTTTACCAACCTTTTGTCAAAAATACCTCTTTAATATCACTTTCCACATGAAACTTTAGTGAATCACATATCAACTTCATAATTCAAATACTTTCAGTACTTCTATAATCTTCCAGTACTATATTTATTTGGGCCCATTTATGTATTTTTTCCAAGCAACTCTATTCCCTAAACTGTCGAAGATCCAAACTGTTTTCCCCTATCTGCTTTACAAACATATGTAGCTATTTAATAATGCACAGTGGACCCTCAATATATGCTAAAAAAGGTGATGAAAACAAATTTTAAACTTTTACATATGACATTCTGCAATAGGAAGCACGTTCCCTTTACCTCTCCTCTAAACATTCTTAACAAATATATTAATAATTGACAATTATTCCCCTTGTTCTCAAAAATGTGTAGGATTTTGTCAATATTCCTAGTAAATTATTCTAATTATCCTAATGATTATTCACATGCATGTATAGAAATAGTCATATTTTGGCATTCTGGATAAAGCAAATGCAAGCAATTCTATATTTAATGCCTTAAACGTTAATTAGTTTTTATGTGTCTCATTTTCTTCAATCATCACAAGTTACCCTATAAGCTGTTAGTATTAAACACTTTCTGTAGCATGGAAATCTGAAGTTCTGTCTCAAACTGGTGATGTGTAGTTGGGTCACAGTACAAACCTGATCTTCCTATTTCAAGTTTATTGTTCTTTCTACATCAAAATGCACATATATTTAGTTCTGCATTTACTTTAAAAGCCTTTTTTATGAGCCTGGTACTTTGGCAGTTCAGGGGGTTTTGCACTATTGAGATCTGCTCGTTTTCTCAAGGAGCTTATACTTTAGGTTGGGGAACAGGCACATAAACAGATAATTTAATTACAATATGATAAACGATAAGAGTAAAGCACACAGAACAGATGTACTTAGGGTTCAGAAAAGAGTTCCTGAAAGAGATAAACTTTTGGCTAGGATGGGAAATTAACCAGACAAAGACAATGAGGAAGAACATTATAGGTAGAGAGATGAACATGCATGAAGGAAAAAGAATGGAGTTTGCTGGGACACATCAAACAGTGTCGTACTATTCAAGCATATAATGTGACATATTTACAACACTAGAAATGTTAGGAGATGTAGCAAAGAATTTCAGGGTCAGGTGTCAAGAAAAACAGAAGAGTAGAGAGATTTGAGAATTATTTAAGAGGTACAAAAAGTATGGCCCACTGAGACTAAATTTAGAGGAGGAAGAAAGCACCAACTATAAGGACTCTTAAGGTGTCTAGGTAAGGAGTTAGGGATACACTTAGGTTGTGAGTTGGAGGTAGATGATGCTGGGTTTGCAGCATGTTGAATCTGAGGTTCTGTGGAACATTAAAATGGGATCTGTGCATTAATAAGTTAGATCGTTGAGGACATAGCTTAGAACGTCGAGGCCTGGAGGTGTGGAATGATGTGAAAAATCAGCACCTCTTTAAACAGATATACCCAAAGACACAATGAAAAACTAAACAACATGGCTTATAAAATAATTTACATGGTTAAAATTGTTAAAAATTATTGTTGCATTCTTTTATAAAGAAAAAATGGGGAGAAGTGACTAAAGTAAAGCTCCAATCCACCAAAGACCTAAATAGCACTGGAATGGGGCAATTTAAGACATCTATGTCATAAAGTTATCTCTGCTTTCAATTCTACCCTGTGTTTGCTGAAATAATTTTCATTTTTCTGTTACTCTAGCAGTTTTCAATTTTACATGCCTTATTTCTGCCTCAAAACTCACATTTTGGTAGTCATTTTCAACTTCCATCTAAATGTCAAATGCAGTGCCACCACACAATGGCACATTATTTACTAAATATTCATAAACTTTCAATGATAGCAATTAATGAAGACTATTCCTCTATTAGTTATAGAAAACTTACAGCCCTAAAGATACAGATTAGGTTATTAAATGCTTTCTTTTTAAAAAAAATAAGAGGATTATCACTGTCTGAGGACCTGTGGATTTCTAGGGGTACTCAGATATTTATAATAGCAACATACAAATTGACATTGAAAAAGATACCCTTAAAGTATTTTTAATTTAGAATGGAACTATAGCCATCTAAATGTATAGGCTCATAATCCCTAATCTATAATTCTAAAATCCATGCACTCTGAAATTGATATTTTATTTGTAAATATGTAATGAATTTGATGGGTGGGAAAATCAGACCTATACTTAATCATGAGACTATTTACAGTCTTTATCTTTTCCATGCAATAGGGATACTCATAGAATTCTCTTCAGAAAAATTTCAGAAATATTCAGAAATACGGGTGCTGCCCATAGTCCTTCAGGAATAGCGTTCTATAATATGCTACACACACACAGAAAGAGAGAGAGAGAGAGAGAGGGAGAGAGCGAGAGAGAGAATGAGAGAAGAAACTGAGAAGAAGAGACAAAGAGAGAGAGAGAGAGAATCAGAAAACCTGTGAGCTCCAAAACACAACTGGCCCCAAGGGATTTAGATAAAAGGCTGGGCAGTATATTTAAAAATTAAAACTTAACATTTTAAAGGCAATCATAATTTAGATACTCAATACAACTGAAGAGCTAGAAATAAAACATTTTTTTCTTATACCTTTACAAAGATTTACCTCCACAATCAGTTATACAAAGAGATTCACCTCCACAATCAGTTATGTATAAAAATATTTTTCAATTTTCTCCTTTTTTTCCTAAAGTATCTTGTTCTCGTGCTTTATTTTCACATTTTTAAGTAAAATAGTCACCTTTTTTTACAGAAGGGGAAAATTTAAAAATCCAAATTACTTTTAGATACATTTTGATAAGATTAGGATTTAAACTGAAAACTTCAAGCTTGAATAAAATATAGAAAGACAAATGTAAGCGGGATACATGCAGAGTCTTACATGTAGGATCAGAATCAACTTCCAAGAAGGGTGGAGGGGAAATGGGAACACACTACAGCATCTATGCAAGTCAATTAGAAACTTCAGTTGACTGCTGTCCCAGTACACATTGAAGGTATGTTGAACTTGTCTCCAAATATCATAAAATCCTAGTGTAAGCTAATGAAACACTGTATCCAGAAGGAGAAATGATTGCCCCATTTTCCACTTGTCACAGTAGATGAGGAAGAGTGTGACTAGTTCTTGGACCACTTTAACAAGAGAATTAACCAACTCAAATAATCCTCCAAGAGAGTAAGTATGATGGTGACAGTTCTACAAATCACCTTATGAAGAGCAATTGCAAAGACTAAAATATCTTCCTTAAAAATACATAATATTTGGTGTAGCTATCATAGCTGCCTTTTGAAATGAGTCAAAACATTTTGTGTGATGACACAAACCATGGTACCAAGAAGTGAGAGTTATTAAAAACATTATTTCATCTCAGCACAAGATAAACTGACTGAAAATGAAAAGGACTGGAATAGCAGTTATTCACATAGGGTTATGGGATTACCTAATCAGGATGCAACAGGGGATTCTTAGTGATCCTTTCCATTTTGGAAGTCGTAAATATGTCTATGAGTTAACAGTACAGATAGCTTTAGAATTTTATCAATTTTGAATATATAGTTTTCAATATTTATAAAGATATCTTTGTTACAAGCCATAACTTTGTGAACATTTAGTGTACTGTTTTTTAAGGAAAGGGCCAATCAACCTTGTATTTAAAAGAAAGTTTTAGTTTAATGGGGGTGACTGTCAAAAATCCCATTCATTTTTATGTTTCTTCTCATACCTAAAAGAGGCACTATTATTATTATTATTATTATTATTATTATTATTATTGGAGATGGAGTCTTGTTCTGTCCCAGGCTGGAGTGCAGTGGCGTGATCTTGGCTCACTGTAACCTCTGCCTCCCCAGGTTCAAGCAATTCTCCTGTCTCAGCGTCCCGAGTAACTGGGACTATAGGCACACGCCACCATGCCTACCTAATTTTTTGTATTTTACTAGAGATGGGGTTTCACCATGTTGCTCAGGCTGGTCTTGAACTCCTGAGCTCAGGCAATCCACCCGCCTCGGCCTCTCAAAGTGCTAGGAGTACAGGCCTGAGCCACTGCGCCCAGCCTACGCGTTTCTTAAACAAGTAAATTGACTTTAATCATTAACTTTGTATATAAATAGGCTGGCAGTTCTTAAAATATCTTAGGATTTCTTTTTCTGTAAAATACAAAGATTGACAGAAATGTATTTAAACATAGCTAATCTAACAATGTTAAGTTAGTGAGGCTTAACTTTTTCCCTTTCACCAATCTTCAAAATGTTTTAAAAATAAAAAGAAACCAGTTAAAGGGTTTTGGTTTTTGTTTTGTTTTTTTTTCCCAAGGGAGAGGATAATATATTAGTAATTCCAAGAATTTTAAAGCAGATATTAGGCATTTTTAAAAAAAAAAAAGACGAAACAATAGTTGGACACGAGGCATCCAAAGTACAGTCAAAGGCAGACCATACAACTGAAAATGAAAAACACATATTTCCAAATGTCAACATTGTGTTTAAAAGGTAAGAAAGATAAAACTATCTCCACATTCTGGTCATTAAAAGCTGATCAACAAGTGGTTTTCTACCCTACTAAGACACACAAATACAACTTTTAAGAAAGACCAGGTAAGAACTCTTGCTTCTCACATAAACCCCCAACCACCATTAACAGTCCATGACTTTGTTTGAGGCAAGGTTTCAAGTGAACTAATCATCTATTCCTAAGTTGTTCTTAACAAAATGTGCATATCACATATGTTAAGTGGAAAAGTAACATTAAGAATGGGAGTAAAGTGAATTTTATTTAAATCTTTCCGAATTTTCAATTACAATAGCAGAAACAAAGGCTACCAGGAAGCATACCTGTGGCAGGGCTGAATTGAGCTGTCTCTGGAGTGAGTCTCGGTCATAGATGACATCCTGAAGTCTCTGCTGGGCAAGTGAGAGGCTTTCCTGGGTCTCCCGAAGGGTGTCTAGAAGACGATCCCTTTCATCTAGCATATTCACCATCAGCTGCTCAAAATGGGAGTCTGAGTCCGAGCCACTGCTTTGGGACCCCCTTTGGCTCATTGGGGTGTCCTCATTAATCGTGGGCATCACTTCACACATCATTGCTTAAAGAAAGTAAGTGGGAAGGAGTCTTAGTAAACAAATGATTTCCAATAATGTCATTTGGACATCAATTCACTAAATATTTTTCAGCTTATTAGCCTATTTGTCTCTATTTCCCCTACCTGTTGCCCCAAATCCAACCAAGCAAAATGTTTTGACCTCAATGAAATATGATTCATTTACTTCCTTCAGCCCTAAGTGCTTTCTCTTTCCATGACATCACGTTTGTCCCACATCCCATATGCAACTTTGTTTCACTTGTTTCTCAAAGTTCATGTTCATGATTTATCCCACCTAATTCAATTTAAATAAATATGTTATTTCCATTATTATTTCATCACCTTTCTTATCTGCAAGTTTACAAATCTCTTAGAGTGAATACTTTTTATGTTACCCTTATTTGTTATTACTGTATATTGTTCATGGCAAGCACACTGTCTGGCACTTAACCGGTAGGAAGTAAATGACTTTTGAATGACTTAGGTAATTCAACGAATTAATGTTTACTCTTTCTTGTAGAAAATCTACAAATCATTGAGTATTTATTTTATATGATAATCAGCTTTTACTTTTTTAGTCAACAGATTTTTTTTCAAATTGACTAGTTTTAAGCTTTTTGACGTTACATTTTCCATTTTATTACTTTTGTATGCTCTCTCCCTGAATTCCTATGTGGTCTACCCAGAGCAGATAAGTGATGCTGACTGAATTAGACAAAAACGTTATGAAATAAACTGAAGTATATAAATTTGTTTAGAGTATTACACTCATCATTACACTTAATATTCCTTTTTTCCTGTTAACTACATAGTCTGGTTTTCATCCAAACAATACAAACTAACACTCTTTCAAATATTCTGCAAAACAGATGTCATAAATTATATTAGCTAATGTAGTAACTTCACATCTCAGCTGCCAATCACAAATTCTCAGTCATGAAATAAATGAACTGCTTTCAGAATATTTTTGAATTTGATTTAAAATAGACAAAACACATTTAGGTGCATGGTTGAACAATTATGTGGCATCTTAAAAGTCAGAAATTATCTCATTTTCTCTTTCATTCTCTAGCTAATGTTTCAAAGAAAAGTCAAACTCATCTCAGTTTTGGTTGTTGTACTATGGCCAGTAGCTATTAATTAGACGGCTTGGTTTTGCAAAAGGCTAATGTGAAGAAAGGCAGGTTTGGTTGTTGATCCTGAAGCATTTTTTGGTTTTATAATGCAAGGTCAATTAATTTTTCTGCCTACACATTCCTGTCCTTAGGGAAAATATTTCTGGTGATATTTTCAAATAGAATGTCAAGGTTTAACAGCTCAATATTTAATTACTTTTTATGTGAGTCTTCATATAAATTGGGTTATTGAGGAGCAAAATTCAATTATCTGTGAATGATCTGGTCAGGGACTCCTGAAAACTAAGAGAAACTTTTAAAAAGTATGTAAGTAATAAAGTATTTTGTGAATGATAACCTATATTAAAAAACTAAGGGGGTCAGTGAATATTAGGAAAATTTTAAATGCTTTGAAGTTTTGCTCATTGCTCATAACACTGAGCTACCTGAAGGCAGGAATTTAATTTGTTCAATTTTGTATGCACACTAAAATATGTAACAGAGTACACACATAAAATGAATATAAGCACACACACCCCGATACCCACACTTGATACTACTGTTACACACTTAATGGATAAAACTGTTTCTTGCATTTGTCTCAATTTGATTTTCATTCAAAGACTATCACAAAGATGGAAAATGCAAACTCTTTTTAACTGCTTCAAACTTTCTTTATATTAATTGAAAAGGAATTAGAAAACAACAGTGTTCCAACACATTTGATTATTTAAAACAATTAGTTAGCAGGTCATGCATGAAATCTACACACTGAACAGCTATGTCATTCTGAGAAATAATCACCAGGAGCTAATGTGTTTACTTTTGACACTTAAGGTTAAAACAAAGTACTGGGAGAGCAAATCATAGCAGTGGGACAATTTGTGCCCAAATACTCACAAGGTTTAAATTTTAGGGTTAACGAAACCCTAAAAGGTTTAAATTTTAGGGTTACCTGTAGATTTAAATTCTTAAATCTATATTTTAAATTCTTAAATCTATACTTTAAACTATGTCGTTCTTGAATGAAAGTTATTAATTCCTTTCCACCCTGAATCACTTAGAACAACTTTAAATTCCAAGGCAAAGCATAACAGCAGTGAATACCCCAGTATAATTTTCACCTGAATATGATATCCTAACAATCCCTCGTTGTTACCATGAGATACTAAACATTCACAAACTTTAGGGTCTTAAATTAACATTAAAGGTAGTCTTAGATTTAGTCAAAAGATGCTATGATTAAAAGTGGCTTAGGGACTTAGAAAGTCTATTAAATCTACACTCAAAAGAACTTGATTTGATTCCACTCCTAAGGCACGTGAACCAGGACAAGTTACTTTACATGTTAAAACTTTAGTTATCTCTTTCATGAAAGAGGGCCAATAAGCTATGCTTAGGAAAAAAAAAAAAAGAAAAGATCTAATAGGTAATCTGACTGAGAACACACAGCAAAACATATAAAGGGCAATTACAAATGTAAGTATTTATTTCTATTATAAAGTGATCAACATTTATCTTTGTAGAAACAATATTTTACCTTTATGACTCATTCTGCTGCTCTGTCTAAAGGTTTAATTCTAGTAGATACTTTTGAACTCTTCAAATCCAATTTATAAAAATCAAATTATGCAAAATTTACTTAGGAAATAAGATGAATATATGTTGCCTATACCTTACAGTCAACCCAAAGGAGTATATCCAAAGTCTTCTTATCAAATTTAGAAAAAAAAATAGTCTACAAAAAAATAAGGCCACTTTCATGAACTAGCTTAGTTTATTTCATTAGAATTCAGATTCTAACATAAATTACAAAATATTTGAATAATCCTTAAAATGCAGTATATTTCTTAAATGCACATTTTGTACATTTTAAGTATTAAAAGCAATTAAAGATACATATTCAATGTAAGAGTTAAACACCCTTTTAAAGAATGGATGACATCTGAAGCAACTTACACAGTCCAGAAGGCTATGGTCATTCAATGTCTAGTGCATTTCACTCAGATATATCACTTTTAACTTTTATAATCAGCTTCAATACTAAAAACTGCATTCATCACATAATTTCTGAAAAGCCAGAAAGGGCATCCTAACAATTTGCCTTGATATTTGCCTTTTCATCATTCCCCCCTCCAAGTCAATTCGATATATAAATTATGTTATCTTCATCTAGATATTGAAGCTTTCCTCATTAAATTGCTGAAGGTTTTGAAACCTAGTCAGAGACATTGTTAATTTTGTTGATAAATAAAAAAAGTAATAATAAACCTGATTGGCTTAATTATCCCAGTGCTGAAATTTAGCTGGCAGAATTTTATATCAGGAAAATCAACTCCTTTATTCTTAGCACATAACCTTGACTGTCTTTTAAATTTCTCAGATTTCAAAATAAAAGTTTGAATGCCCACTGGAGTCCTCACTCAAGGGCTTTCAAAATCCAATGTGTTCCTTAGCAATGTATGCCATCCAAGCAGTACGTCTTCAGATATGAGAATGCTACAAAAAGCATTTTTTTCTTTTTGCTGTCAATAAATGACTTTATTTAATCATATCAGTAAGATGTCGGCCCTACGAGAAGTAAGAATGTAATTATTCTCTATAGTGAGTTTCTTCTGAAAATATTTAGTCTTAAGAACCATCCCAGCTCCACCTCAGTTAACCTACAAGGAGTAATTCAGTGAGAGAAATCCTAGCTATTGTCTGATTACATTACATGAATATTCTCCCTCCTATTTAACTCTTTGAAAGCCTCTGTCCTCGGGAAATATTATCACCTTTAATGGACACATTTTACACTTTCTTTACCCTAGTGCATTTACAGACAGCCAAAGAGCCAGCTCACCCCACACTACTGGACAGTTATCTCTCAGCCACACCCCCCACCACCTTGAAGAAGTTGACTTCATCATTTCCATATTAAAATTGTTCATCCTGCCCAACAGGACACAGCCAAGTAGGCAGGAGGTAGAGAGATAGGAGACGGAGAGGATGAGGTGAAAGCAAAAGACACCTAACAGTAATCAACAAGGAGGAATTTGCATCTCATGTTCCCTGGGGGCGGGGTGGGGCCAGGGAGGTGGTCAAAAAATACAGCGAAAGGAGACAGTAAAACTCAAAGACAGTTTCTGTACCTAATGTCTGTGATTTCGGGTCCTTGCTTCTTCAATTGATCAATGACAACCGCAGTCTCCGGCTTGAGGAGAAGGGAGGCTCACACCCAGCACTCCTGGACCATTTCCCTAGCAACGGGAGGAGAAAGGCAGCTCAGACACACGCGTGCCCCGGCGCCCTCCCGGAACGTGCCCCGGCCCGGTGGCGTGGCAGGAGCTCGGCATCTTCCCGTGGCTCCGTCAGCAGCCAAAAGGAGAAGCGTCCATCGGAAAAATGGCATATTACAAATTTTGCTTTGGGAAGCAGAGCTCGGTTCAGACCATTGTCAAACGAGGAGAGGGGGAGGCGGCTCTTAAAGCAGCCGCGGCCCCTTTGCCAGAGCAGCCGCAGCTCCCCGCGTGCAGCTGGAGCCCCGGGGCGGAGACCGGGGACCGGGGACTGGGTTTGACTTTCAGAAACTTAACCAAGCGGCGCCGCTCCCCTTCCGCGCCCGGGCCACCCGGGGTGTGTGGGGCGTCCCTCCAAAAGAGATCTTGGAGAAAAGGCGTGAGAAGTATCTGGGAGAGAAGTTCTCCACCCAGTCGTCCCTCCTGGGGCCCCTCTGGAGTTTAAGGCTAACCCTGGGAGTTAGAAACCTGAAGGAAAACGAGTCCCTAGGGATGCAAAAAAGCAGGACAGGTCTCCTCCTGGCCCCCAGCCTGTTTCCGCGCTCCCGCGTCTCATTTCACTTAAAGGAGGCGCTTTTTCTCCGGAAAGGCAAGCATCACCCCCCGCCACCCCCCTCCCTCCCCACTGCTCCCCCCCTCCCCACCACCACCACACACACACCCATTTTTCTCCTCCCAGCCTTTTTGCAAGCCTCTTTGCTTGCTTCAGTTGGCCGGGAGAACCAACCTGCTGGGAGCCGGTGAGGACGCTACAGCATCTTCTCTCCTCACTTGCCTCGTGCGGTGGTTGCTACTCCTCCTCCTCAGTCTCCTCCCCTCCTCCTCCTTGGCAGCCACCACCTCCTCTTCCTCTGGAACAAGGGCTTCCCCTGGAAGCTGCTGCAGTGGTTTCCACCGGCCCTTAAATAAATTCTGAAGTAATCACGTCTTTGCTCTCCTCCTCACGCACACGCGCCCGCGGATACACTCGTCTCCCCCAGAACCGCTCCCGGGCTGCCGAGGCTCGCTCTGCTCCCAGTGCCCCCTGCGAAGGCGAGGGCCAGGGATGGGCAAAGTAGGAAGGGGGCACACTCTACCCCGCCTGGGCTTCTTTCACACAATGGGCTCCACAGCCTTCGCTCCTGTCAGTCTGAGCTGGTGGGGATGGGAACGGACTTGGGCACCTTTTGGCTCCCCGGTCTTCTGTGCTTGTCATTTCTTTAAGCAGTTTTCTTCCCACTGGGCCAGGACATGGTAGTCATGGTTGTAGGGACCTGAGCCAATCTAGGGTGTGGCGGCATCTGTCATTTCTCATTACCTCTTCAGTTCTTCTTCATTCATATTGTTTTGGTAATGAGAATTGTATGTTAAGTATTCCATGCCCCAGTAAATTTTAGCTTTGAGCAGAGTCTGGTCTCTCCATTGCACTCCAGTCCCCCTTGTATCTCCACCTCCCTTTAACTACCCTCTTTTCTTTCTGCTGCTGCTGTCCATTCATACAGACTGAGGAAGCAGGAGACAAAATCAGTACCTACTCTGAGCAGACAGGGAACGTTTCTGTGAGGGAGAGTCACGAATCCTGGATTTCGTGAAAATGAAGAGGACATGCATGAAGGAATTGGAGAAGGATTAAACACTGAATATAATGTGGGGGTTAGTGAAAATATTCTGAGTGTACTACAGCAAATCCAAAAGGCGTGTTTTACTTTTGTATAAAGCCAAGAGTCCAAAGTTAACAAAGAACTAGTATGTCAATAACTGTTCACTTAAAATTAACTACAATATCCAAGAAACAATCTTTGTTTCTGGGGGAAGTATTTAATTCAGTTAGCGACTTTACAGTAGAAAGAGGGGTTAAGCTCATGTATTTACCCCACTTCTAGACTGTTATTTAAATTTTGCAACACAACATACTCCTACAAAAAGTATAAAAATAATATGAAAATTCATTAGATGTCAACTGGAGCACTATTTCTCCGACATAACGTGCATACAGATCATCCATGGATCTTGTTAAGTTGTAGATACTGATTCACCAGGAATGGGGTGAAACCTGAAATTCTACCCTTTTAATGACTCCCAGATGGTACTACACTTTGAGGAGGAAGGGTCTAGACCACCCAATCAACCCATAATTTGATGTGGCTTAAATACCCCTAACTACAGGAAATTCTTCACCTCACACAATAGCCTAGTCTATTTTCAGACAAACTTCATATTGTAATAGCTTCAACATACTAATCAGATATCAGTACTCATAAATTTCACTCTCGAGAATTCTACGCAAAATATAAAAATTCCTTATACATGAGAGATAGTCTTATTTTTAAATATAGCTATTATATTTATTTGTACAAGAATTCCTCTCTTATTAAACCTTGGTTTGAATTTCCTTGGCAGTCAACATTTGTTAATTACTGACTCAGATGTTCTTACTGTTTCCAAGGAGAGTTTTGATTTCCTTGAGTCCCATTCGTATGTCAAATACAAGTTTTAATTGTAAGTATAATCCCCACATACAGTTGGCACAACATAGTTAAAGGCTAACCCATAGTAGTTATCACAGAAAGAAAAACTTTGATAATGGGAGGCAGAAAAAATCACAAGTTAAAGGATATTTTGGTGAGAAGATACAGTCTTCATAGTAAATTTCAGCTGAGAAACTCTACATTATCACTGTTAACTTCACTGCAAAGGGTGTAAATGATATGTTAAAAACTGAGAAAGACTATTTAAAGTAGCAATTTTGCAGAAGGCATTAGGTGAGCCAATTCACCTGAGAAGAGCCACCACCTGCACAGTTCCTCTAAGTTTAGTGGCCCTTAAATTTATCATACAAGAGCATCTCCAGAAGGGCTTGTTACAACACAGATTGCTGGGCCCTATCCTTCGAGTTTCTGATTCACTACATCTGATTCATTACATTTCTAATAAGCTCCCACGTGGTACTAATACTGCTAGGTCAGGGATCCCACTCTGAGAACCACTGTGTAGATACGTCTGAAGAATTTTGGGAACAAAAGAAGCACAGAGCAAAAATAAAAAAAGAACTGGTAAATATTTTTTATTCAAAAAAAAAAATCTCCTATACCAATATAAATCTGACTCTGTTGTTTTTGATGCCCAATGAATTATTAAGATGAGATATGCTTGTCTCCTGAATAGTTAACCAGATTTAAGTAGAAGTAGTGAAAGTCATTATTTGTCTTAGTGCCTAATATCAATCAAAGTAGTCCACACTAGCATATAATATTATAGTAGCCACAGGTACTGATGCTTCTTGTTAACATTTTATTTTAAATATGAGTTTTTTTGTCTATATACTCCTGTGGTGGTTAATACTAAAGGTCAACTTGATTGGATTGAAGGATGCAAAGTATTGATGCTGGGTGTGTCTGTGAGGGTGTTGACAAAGGAGATTAACATTAGAGTCAGTGGACTGGGACAGTAAGACCCACCGTTTATCTGGATGGGCACCACATAATCAGCTGATAGTGTAGCTAGAATATAAGGCAGGCAGAAAAATGTGAAAAGACTGGACTGGCCTAGCTTCCAGCCTACGTCTTCTCTTGTGCTAGATGCTTCCTGCCCTCGAACATCGGATGCTAAATTCTTCAGTTCTTGGACTGGCTCACCTTACTCCCCAGTTTGCACACAGTCTATTGTGGGACCTTGTGATCATGTAAATGAATAATTCATATATATATATATGTGTGTGTGTGTGTGTATATATATATATATATATCTCCTATTACTTCTGTCCCACTACAGAACCCTAACTAATACAGATTTTGGTACCAAGAGGGGTTCTCGAGGAACAAAATATTAAGAATGGAGTTATTTTATCAGTTTTGGAGCTTCTGGAGTTGGCTGCTTAATGATTAGACCCAAAAATGCTAAGGACTCTACTTATAATAGTATGGAGAACACTGATAGTCTTGGCATGAATTGTTTAGAGAGTTATGCAAAATAAATGCATTTAACACTCCTGACTTACGGCTCATGAGAAGCAAGGAGTTTAGTGACTCTATACATAATATCTTTGACCATATGTGGAGAACCAAGGAATGAAATGAAACTGGTTGGTTGCTTGTAAGTTCAGGGGGCAAAGTGATAAGAGAAAATGATGAACTCAGGATTCTAACTCCCAGCTTCAGAAGCAGATTCTGAGACTCAAATCTGCTAAGATTGCCGTGAGTGAGAGTCTTTTCTCCTCTGCAGGAAAAAGCTGAAATTGTTGAAAAGCAGACACAACCTCTCATCATGCAAGTGGCTCACCTGCAAAGAAAGGTGCATGCACAGCCTTGCCAGTTGTCTACTGTTAAAGTGATGGCATTGATTGGAAAAGAATGGGACCATTCAACTTGGAATGGGGACATGTGGAAGGACCCTTATAAAGCTGGGCACACTGAGTTTGTGAACTCTGATGAAACTTTTTTTTTTTTTTTTTGCCAGAAAAACAGCTTCTCCATCCCCAGTAGTGGCAACATCCACCCCCTGACCCATGATGCCATCAGTCTTTCCACCTTTGTCTGAGGAGATAAACCCTGCACTGCTGGAGACAACAGTGATGGCCTCCCCTGAGGCAGCTTCCAGGCAAGATAATGTTTATTTTCCTCAGGAACCACCCCCAACACCCCTGTTTGCTTCTAGAGTATACCTGGACTAAAGCCCCAGGGGGCCCCTAGGGGTGAGGTTGAGAGCGTGACCCATAAGGAGGTGTGCTACACTCGAAAACAGCTGCCTGAGTTTTCTAATTTTTGTAAGTAGAAATCTGGAGAACAGGCATGGGAATGGATATTAAGGGTGTGGGATAATGGTGGAAAGAACACAGAGTTGGATCAGGCTGAATTTATTGATTTGGGCTCACTAAGTAGGGACTCTGTATTTATTGTTGCAACTTGGGGAGTTAAAAAAGTTCTAATAGTTTATTTGCTTGGTTAGCTGAAATATGGATTAAAATATGGCCCACTGTGAGTGAATTGGAAATGCCTGATCTCCCTTGGTTTAATGTAGAGGAAGGGATCCAAAGGCTTAGGGAGATTGGGATGGTGGAATGGATTAGTCACTTTAGACCTACTCATCCCAGCTGGGAGGTCTAGAAAATATACCCTTGACCAATGCTTTGTGAAATAGATTTGTGAGGGCAACATCTGCATCTTTGAAGAGCTCTGTAATTGCTCTTCTCTATATGTCAGACCTAACAGTGGGAACTGCAGTCACTCAACTACAAAGTTTAAATACAGTGGGAATAATTGGATCCTAAAGAGG